AAAGTATGCTTAATTGCTTTGCGTATATGGATACTTTACAGAATTTACAAAATGCTGTCGAAACTTATCCTCCTGGGGTTGAAAAATAAAATACGCCTCTAACCGCAACTGTTCTGCTATGAAGAATTTGGAAGTGTGTCTTCGAATAATACTATGAAATGTTTCTATATGACCATCACTTAACAAAGCAAGATGGTAGTAAACATGTTAATAATTGGATAGTTAATTTCCATCCAATAAAAAATATTAGAAAAAAATAATAAAGGAGCGCGTTTATAGTTCTTTTGATCAAATCGAAGAAAAAGATCGCTCCAACAATGCATGCAAGCTTCTTTGTAAGCTTGCCAATTACCTCTCCGATGGTGTATTGCATAAACGTTGATAACCAAAAGAACCAAATTTCCTAAAAAATCCGTCAAATAGAGAAACTCTATATTTTTACACGTATTACTGAATTTTGGATTAACAACATTAGCTATTTCTGACCATGCTTCACATACGATATTAAGAATCAAATCGATTCTCTATGGTCGTAGCTTTTTACCGAGGTCCTTACGTATACCGAAAATACCTTTATAAAGTTCATTAAAAAAAAAAGAATTTTGGAGAAAAACTAGTTATGGGAATTTAATGATATATGGAGAGGACCCATAATTAGTAAAAATGCAATAACAAATGAAGGAATAGACGTGTTATTGGAAAGGATACATTGTACAATAGCTTTGCGAATATAAAACTGTCCAGGCCAGTCTGCGACAATGGGAATAGCGTAATTGAAAATATACATCGACATAGGTTCGTGATCCCATATGACTTTGAGAGCTTTTATATAATGCTCCATCTTTTTTAAATCGCTTTCAACAAAGGCGATGAGAATAGAGTCCTTGATATGCCGCTCATTTTTTTACTAGCTAACCTGTTATTATAACTGTGTAATGTTAGCCTGTCTATGAATTCATTGTCAGTATATTCTTTCACATAATCCCATATATGACTGCGATTAGAATAAGAAATTGCAAGGTTTGCAATAAATCGCTCCTCAAGGTGTTTTATAATCAATTTATCATCAACAACCTTGGGATTAATTATTCTACTACGCAGTATCGCTGGCATATAACATGGATTTATCAAAATTGATGCCATGTGTGTCGGTCAAGATGTTGCTGTAGTATTAGGTTGGTGCGAAACATGGATGTTGTGATAATCATCGATATTTAGCACCAAAGTATTTTCTGAGCATTTTATAAAAGCATTATCTATATATTTTTTATGTATATCCGATGCTCTTTTCTTCTTATGTTCTACAGTTCTCACCATTGTAGATACACCAAGACTTGCTATCGTGTTCAAGCCCTTATTAGTCATACCTGCTGAATCTAAATAATAAGCAATATCAAGCTTAAAAGCATTAATTTTTGTACTATTTAATGAAGCAAGTAAATAACAAATTAACACTATTAATTTTTTCATATAGTCCATTGTTTGCTCATTACATTCGAAAGGCCGAGCTGCAAAGTAAAGCTGGTTAAGAAATTCTGCTAAGATTGGGTTAGTTTCTTGAAATAATGCTCGCATTTCATCAAAAACATAAATAGGACTTTCTTGTTTTACATGCTCTTTCTCATAAAAATTTTCGCTATTTCCTTAATAACTTTAATAAGTTCAACCTTCATATTTTCCTCTTTCGTCACATTTGCTTCGATTTTTTCACTCACAGGTTTTACTCTAAGACCTCTTTTTAGAGGATTTTCGACCAAATTCATGTAACAAAAATTACATAAAATATCTTCTTCTTTCCACGTTGCTTTCACTAAATTGTTACTTTTAGCCTCTCCCCACTTTTTTTTGTTCAACGAACGGAATCTAATCGACTCAGTGATATGGCATTCCTTGCATTCTGGCATATTTTCTTTGGATAAAAGTTAATATAAAAGTTGTTGGATTCAAGTGAATTCAAGTGATATTATTAAAGTTTAGTACGAATACTTTAAAGCTTGCTTAGTATATTTCACATTCTATTTTAAAAATAGGTTGCACAAGATTATCAAAAAGTACAAAAAACGCACAAAAAAAATTTTTTATCAACTGTGATTGGCTGATAATCATGTGATATTAAATGTGATTGGTTGGGAAGATTTTGGAAATGATCTGCATTTCGTGTAACCTTGACGGTCACTCCTGTTACTGTCTGCCACCCAAATTACAAGTTAATATACTCCCAACAACCAATCATATTTTATTCACGTGATTTATGCTTTTTTTTGCTCGATTATGCGAAGCATATACGATGCGAAAAATTGGTAAATTATGCACATATTATGCTTTCGCATAATCCTGAACACCCTAAATTAGACAAATTGAGCATATAAATAGTACCCTTCGGATCGTTTACATATTTTCTCGACAATCCCAGATTAGAAATATTAGAATGCATTTTTTCTTAATTTTCAAAAACATTGCAAGTAAAAATCCTACTTTATGAATTTTATGTAAATCAAGTTAAATGCTCAATTAAGTAAACCAATATAAAAATCTTAAATTATGAAAGCTTCTATTAGTTGCATACTGAAACACTATCAAGCATTTGTCATCCTTGCGTTTTTGAGTTAATCCATATACTATATAAGTCTCTTTATACAAATAAGTTAGTTTAAGGTATGTTTAAAAAACCATATAATGAATAATAGTTTAACTTACTCCTTTAAAGATATGACTTGAGTGCGTCATGCTGAATAGTTCATAAGCTCTATTGTGATCATAATTAATCATTCATATGAGTGCTGTTAAGGGAAAGAACACTTAGTTTTTCAGTATATTCTTGATTATTTATTCGATTTACCCTTCTGATCTATGACACATCAGGCTTTAAATTAATTGATCACGGTATAATACAGCAATACAATATAAAATTTTGAGCTATGTAATTGAAAACCCAATGTGCATCGATCAGAAGGGCTGATCAAATAAATAATCAATAATACTTAAAAGACAAGGCGCCTTGGTAGCACTCATATACCATCTGACCAGATTGCTAAATACGCTGAGCCAAATCTTCACCAATTTTTCAAGATTATTCAATTGTCAAGTCATACTTATAAATTCTAGACCGAAATAATTTTGCGCCAACTCGTTTTTTTCGTTAGTTTACTCCAGAATCGTTATGTCAAGCTCATATGCCTGGCACAATACTTCTTCGGTTTTTCGGTGTTATGGTACTGGAAACCTATACTTAACGGTTACACGAAGTGTTTCAATTTTTTAAATACCTATAATTTTTTATCAAAGAGGTTTTAAAAAATCTGACCGGTAACTTTATAGAATTGCATCAGCTCTACATATGTACCAAATAACTTTCAAAATCTCATCAATGTAAAGAATTGATGCATTTTGAAAATTGAAATCTTATATAAATTTATATATTTTCAAAACGTATCAACTCCTTACAGTGATGAGATTTTGAAAAGATATTTGGTACATATGTAGAGCTGATACAGCTCTATAAAGTTACCAGCCAGATTTTTTAAAAACCTCTTTGATAAAAAGTTACAGGCATTTAAAAAATTGAAACACTTCGTGTAACTGTTAAGTATAGGCTTCCAGTATTTTCCAATCTAGAACCTAAATGTAGAAAAAAGATTTAAAGGGATTAATTATAATTATCTTCTACGCTAATCTGTATCAACTCACAAAACAAAAAGTTCATTCAGGTTACCCGATTTATTCTGTCCTGTTGTAACCCGGATATCAATACGTTGTTTCATCTCACTAAAGTCGGTATTGTCAATATGCCTCCAATACCACAATTTTTTTTCACCCTTAACTATACTTATGTCTTTTTCGGTTTCTAAGTACTATCTAATGCTCTTGACTGTGCTTATGTCTTCATATTATTTTTATATGGAGTTGCCACATTGTTGACTGTGCTTATATCTTCTTCATAGCAGAATTTAAAATTATTGCCCAGAATTATATTTTTCAAGTGCCCCTTTATTCTCGGCCATATTTAAATCACCCAGTAGGATCTTCACTTTAACAGATTCCTGATGGCCTTCTCGTCTTTAGCTACCTACATAAAAATTTAAGATTATTTATTCTATTCAACAGAATTGTCACCTTTAGTATTACTCACGTTTCCTTTTCATCATTGATTATGCCTGCACTGCCCACTAAGCATAGCGCTAATATATTTTTTCATCATTGGATGTGATATCTCTTCATCATAGCATAGCCCAAAATTTAGCTTATCCACTGGAACTTGCTTTGAAACACCGTCTTAAGCAGATTTAATTAATGATGCGCTATTTAATAAGATTTTAAAATACGAACTAATTACGGCGATAATAGCAGCTAATAATAATAATAATAATAATAGTAATAATAATAGTGTGTAAATAATAAATAAATATAAACGATTAGTAGAGTTGATTTTCTCTAAAACAAACCTCTTTCTGTATTGATGAACCCAGAACGTTATTTAAAAGCATGCAATTACAGTAAAAAGAGCTAATAATTAATTTAGCCGAAGATTTTTAAAAATACAATTATGGTCGCATTCGGCTAAATTAATTATTAGCTCTCTTCAATTGTATAATTCCGGGTAACTTTACAATTTTAAATATATTAATTAGAAGTATAGTCGATTCCCCTAAAACAAATGAACAAATTATATTAAATTAGCTCAATTTAAAGAAGAAAAAAAAAAAGGAAAATCTGAATATAACGAACGCAATTTTAAATAATTCTATACAGAAAACTCTAAACCAAACCTCTTATTAATGAACTTAAAACGTAGGAAGTATTTCTCTAAAATAAACCTCTTATTAATGAACTTAAACGGAAGTATAATTTATTAATTCGATATAGAAAGAGATAGTTTAACATTTTTTTAATAATAAAAATAATAATAACGATAGCGATAATCGATTTAAAAAAAAAAAAAACAAAATCACGCGTAGTACGATAAGGTCAAATTGCTGACGGTCCATGGACGGTCTGAACGATCAGGTTACGTATACGATAGCCAATCAGAATCAAGGCGGCGGGTACCCTTATGTCAAGAAAATCCCGGGCTGAAGATCACTTCCGACCCTATCCGGATCCAATAAAATCACAGGAT